TCTTCAGGTTCCAGCCCCACACTCACAGGCAGAGATAAGAAAATAATTTGCTGTAATAACTGAGACAGCAGCTTTGCCCTACCCCTGGAAATCACAGGCACTTCAGAGGCGGCAGAATCCCGACCCTGGTGAATAATGGAGGCCAATTTTGCTCTTTCCATCTTTATTATCATTAAGTAATGAGATTGAGGTGGTGTACAACCCCAGCAGACGAGCTGTCATCATGTTTTGCTACAGAATTTGGCACACAAGAGCATCTCCTCACACATACCAAAGAGAAGCATCTCCAGCATCTAAACTAGCCCTTTGCTGCACTGCCTCTGGTCCCAGACACCTGAAGCAGGTAACCAAGGCAGGTCCCTGGAGGAGTGGCATGTGTCCACTCACTTTGGCCAGGAGGCTTGTTTGGGCTCTGACCTCTGGGAGGAATCTGAGAAGCTCTGGGCAGGACTTGCTCCATCCCCCAGCCCAGCACTGAAGCACTTTCTCACCCGTGGGGGCTCTCATGGACACTTCACGGACAACCTCGGGACTGAAAGACACTCAGCCCCAATAGCTGGCACCTGCTTTACTACTACAGCATCATTTCCTGAGAGTTAAGCATCCCTAAAGGAAGGTGATTCAGAGCTCTAGGTGCCCTTGACACCAGTTAAAGCTATAATCTATAGAAATAAAGCCATTACAAAACAAAACCAGGAGCAAATCCCTCCAGCAAACAACCAGTCAGCGAAAAATTTGCACCCAAAGTCTCCTCCATCCCCTCCATGTTGCCACAGCCCTCCCTGGCACCTCTTCCTGCAAACACGCTCAGACAGCCAAGGCGGGGCTTTGCACCAGGCTCAGCTTAGTGATAAGCCAAGGACACCTAAACACTGTCCCTGTTAATGGGAATCTAACTGGGCATCCAGATCCACGACACAGCTTGGAAAGCTGCAGCACTGTGGGTGATAACTCCTTTGGCTTGAGGGGCTGCTGGCCGGCACTCAGTAGCAGCTCTGGAAGGGCTCGTGGCCCGGTGCAGCCTTTCCCTGGTGGTGTAAACACAGCTTCCCAGCACCCTGAGAACTGCCAAGTGTCCCCATCCCACCCAAAGATGGGTTCATGGGGCTGGGGAGAAAATCCCAGTCCATGCATGGACTGGAGCAAACAGCTGTGGGACCTGATGGTCCCACCTCTCCCCGCAGCCCATTCTCTTTCAATCAACCCCTGCCCTACTTATCATCGTTTAACCATCTCCCAGCTCTGTTTCTGGTTACTGGCAGAACACACGGAGGGTCCTTTCCCCAGGGAGGAAAGAATGTAAAATTTGCTCAGCTACCTACATGAGAAACAAGACTGCCACTCTGGTCTACAAAAGATACCAAGAAATCACTTTACATTTCTTCCCGCTCCAAACCTGCCCGCCTTCTGCTGACTCCTGAATGTTAATGTTATTTATGACAAATGATTGATGAGGGAGATGCAGAATTCACACCCAGCACAGGGCATTTTCAAATCACCTATTCATTTTTAAGGACCGGAATCAGTTTTGTATCCTGACAAGATTTATCATTTGGAGGTTGGGCAGTGGCGACGCAGGGCCAGCTTCCAAGCCCTGACAGAGCATCACCAGGATGAAGACAGCAGTAAGTCATTAACCCTTTGAGGTGTGAGAGAGACCAGTATTCAAATTGTGCTGCTGAAGCTGGAGCCTTCTATTCCACCAGCATGTCAGGCCACCCTAGAGCCTTCATCTTCACATGCACAGACCACGCTGGTCCAAGCTAATATCCACAGCAATGCTGTTGTATTTCTTAAAAGCAGAACTAAGTTTTTGTCTTCTACACAGCCTGTCTATGTGAGAGAGAAATATTTACGCACTGTGCTGTCATTGCAATGCACCTAAAAGAGATCAATGGCTCATTTCCCCTCCAGTGGACCTCCCAGCCTACACAAGCCTCTGCATCTGTGGCAGAGAGAAATGTCACCCTGGGCTCAAGAGACAAATTCTGCTTCCCTTGCCTTGGAAATGTGCGTTTCCTCAGGTGGTGCATGGGGAGAAGGCAAGATGGGGCACGTGGGATGGGCCTGACAGCTGGGAGAAAGCAGAGCTTGCTGGGGTGGGAGAAGATGTATCAGAGGGGACAAACTGGGAGTGATACGTCCCCAACAAAGACAGTCTATCATGTTTGATGCCAGCCTGTCAGTGGCTGGCCCGACCCACAGAGTGACCTAATTCATTTCATCAGCAGGGAAAAGTAAACAAACACAAAACAAGGGGGGTGAAGCAGCCAAGTCTAGAGGTGACACTGTGGCAGCTTTGTCACAGCCCTTTCCTCTTGCTCCAGGAGACACTATAGCAGGATGCAGCCTCTCTCATGAGCAGGGGGAAGCATTCAGAGTACTATTCATAATCTGCCATCCAAGGCTGTGAGACCTGGGTCTAGTGGTCCTCAATATCCTTAATATCAGCTCAGTATCTCAGGAGGAAAGGTTTTAAAGTTCAAGGGCATCACGGATTTAAGCTTAGGAAGTCACCTAAGGGGCCAAGGAAGGAGGGATGTCTGTAGAGAGTCTATGTGTGTGTGGGGGGGGTCATATGGAGGTGTCTCCAGATCCCTGATGACAGTTGGGACCCAACAGGGACCTCTGGACCTTTATCACCGAGGCACTTCAGAGAGATAGTGCCGCCAGTTGTGACTGATGCAACTGAGTATCCCTCAGTTGTCTACACCGAGTGGTTTCCTTCCCTGCCCAAGCAGCTCCTCCTCATTGTGCCATTCCCACAAACAGCAATCCCTTGCTCAGGTGGAAAGGCTGCAGATGGGTAGGCCAGCCCCTTGGCAGCAGTTTCTCCAGCACAGCCCTGCAGATGTTGGCAATTCCAAGTGCCGGAGCGCTCACACTCCTGACTTGCACTGAGTGCGCTGGGACCCCCAGGGATCCTGTGCAGTTGTGGAGCCCCATTCCATGAAGCACAAAAAAGCTTCTGCTGACCCTCGGAAAGAGCTGAAACACATGGCTTGAGCTGCTGTAGGAACAGCCAGGGTTCAGCAGCACTCTCCCACATGATTCCAGAGCCTCTGGTAAGGGCTGTGTTCACACCATGGCTTTTCCCCTTGGTGGGGGTGGTTATTGTTACTTCCTCGCATCTTGTTTTCACAAGAATACTGGAGATGCTGAATGTTCCTGAAGCTCCTGCACCTGAAGCCATATATGGTTGGTATTAGCCCAGTGGATCCAAAATACTGAAAGACTGGGATGGATGGACGTACGTTCTCACGTACCCATCACCATGGCATAAGCTGTGTTTCTTAGGAAACCAGCCTAGCAGCAGTGCCTGCTATCCCTGTTTAGAAGGAAAAATGCACTCTGGATGCAGACTGGATTCTATAAACCACTCTCTACTGCTGCCACCTGCGTGGCTATGCAGTGTTCCTGTGACAGCGAGGAGAGCAGAGCGGAGCTCCCAGCAGGGATGGAAAGGGGGAAAGATGAGGGGGAAAGAGAAGGAAAGGGGATGTTGCACTGGGGTTTTTCCCTGGTTTTGTTGGCATATCCTTGGGCAGTGCCAAGCAGGTAGAACAGCCACCTATAAGATGACTCTTATGCTCTTCCTCCAGGCACAGCAGCGGCTGGGGAGGTGAGCACACCCAGCCCCTGCACTGCTGCTCTTATTCACTGTGGCTTCATGTCCACACACCCACGTGGGATGGAGGAGCTTGTGGTACCCGCTGGCAGCCAGGGATGACGTCCACACAGCCCGGGGTGTGGTTCCTCTCCTGGAGACCAGGCACACTGACACAATGCAAGGAAATTTTCAGCCTTGAGGCTGCCCCTGCTGAGCGAGCGCCCAGCCAGGTGCCCATCTGGTGGCTCCTGAGCAGGAGCTTCAAAAATGCTCTTGTGAGTAGAAGAAGTGGTGCTACAGCTACAGTGCCATTCCTCCATCCCCAGAGGGGTTTGTTCGGTGGAAATTTTGTACTTTGGAAACTAAAAATAAACATGCCCATCTTGGGAGCTTTTTTTTTTTTCTTCTTTCTCAGTTTAAGGGGGCTGATTTTGTTCCTGCTTTGTTCTGCATTGAGAGGGACAAGAAAAGCCAGATTATCCTGGCTATACCTCTCCTTTGTCCTCTCCACCCCACTGCCCAGTGGACCAAAGAAGTCTTTCAAAACCTGACAGCAGTCAGTTTTTTTTCCTTGCTGGAAAAGAGAAAATACCCAAACTCACAGGGAAAATGCTACTACTAACAACAACAATGATAATAATAATAAACATTTCCTGTGAAAAATAAATAATCAACAGCTGATCTCCAGTGCATGGCCTGAAGGCTCTCCAGATCAAAAAGTGTCTCTGTTAAGTGTTTCCACAGCTCCCAGCACAGCTGGGTCCTGAGCCATGAGGAGAAATCATCACAGTTGTGGTGGCATCACTCTGAGGTGCTACATTACAGAGGAGACACTGGCCCTGAGGCACCCTGCTTTCCCCTTTCCCAGCACCCCAGGCCAGGCCTGGGCACTCAAGTTTCACACCATCAGACCACTGCCATAGAAACCATCTCCAGGAACCTATCTCAGCCCTCCTGGAAGCACACTGCCCCTACTTTAGCCACCACTGCCCTGGCTCATCAGGGTGGTGCAACTCACCCTGAGTATCCTGGTGCCAACACACTTCCCAGGGAGGGGATGCCAAAGCCACCAGGCAGAGGTGTCTGTTGACACTTTGCCAGTGGAGATCAAAAAACATCATCATCCCTGAACTCATGAGCACAGTATAAGGTCGCTGAGCTCACCGAGGGCCCTTGAGGACCTTGCTGCTGACCAGTGATAGTGGTTAAGACTTTCCAGCTACCAGCGGGTCAGAACACCTCTTCCCAAGGGAGGGGAAACCTCTTCTCATGACAACAGCACCTTCACACCACATCTGGCCAGCAGGACACAACCAGCAGGGCTGGTCCAACCCCCCTCCCCCACCCAGCTGTGGTGACACCGCGACCCTGCAGCGACGCCAGCACTCACCATCTGGATGACAGACACCGGCCCGATGCTGTTCACGTAAATATCCACATCAATGAACGTGGGCTTGACTGCAAGGAAAGTGAAATAGGTGTGGGTGAGCTGGGGCCAGCACCATTTGCAGAGGGCTGAGGACAAGGGGAGCATCTGGGACCGGCATGGCTCTACCCCACCGACAGTCACGACTGCAGCAGTCACAAAAGCACAGGAAACACAAGACACAGCCAGGCCAGCACCCCTGGGCACTTCAGGGAACTTCAGGGGACACTTACTGCCGATGTCGGGCCTCAGCTTGTTGTCATAGTTCTTCAGCAGCGAGTTGAGGATCTGTGTGGCATCAGTCTCCTGCGCCTTGGGGGTGAGGACCCAGGTTTTATTGATGCTGAGGTAATCGTAATCGTATTCCTCTGTGCTCTCACACCTGGAGAGGAGATACAAAGGGACAGAGACGTGGCTGTGGCAGCTCTCTGGTGCTCTGTGGGAGCAGGGGCACAGCTGTGTTTCAGAGATACTAAGGGAGAAGGATGCAGGGCAGCTAAAAGGCAGAGCACGAGGAGCTCAGCAATCTCCTCTCAGCCACACTGTTAAGACACAACTCACCTGGGCACCCTCACTTCAGGGTCCCCAGACATGCAGGGGCCTTATCACCAGTGGTAAAGACTAGCAGGTATGGGGTGCTCCACACCCTCCTCAGCTTTCTTTGGAGACACACTGCTCAGCCCCGAGGTGGGGGAGCCAGTCCCTGCTCTTCCCTGCCTTCCTGCTCATCCCACTCCTGGCCCTGCTGCTGGAGCTGCCTGTTAACCCCAAATACCTCAGCTGCTCTGCCTGCTGCTGACACCTGAAGCAACCTTCCTCTGAGGAAGAAGAGAGCGACAAAATAGTGTTTGGGGGGAGCAAGGCATTTACAAGAAAAGCATTTCAGAGAAAAGAGGTCCTAAAACTACCAAGCAGGCAGCATGTTTGTCTGGCATGCCAGGAACCCAGCCATCTGCCCTGCACAGATCCTCAGAAATTAAAGCCTTATGCAAACTCCTCTGCCCTCAGGCCAAGACCTGCCACAACCCATTGGCTGCACTCACCAATCCTTCCTCACCAGCCTTTGGCGTGAGCTCCCGTTTAAAGATGTTCCATCTTCCCGATCTTCCAGTCCCAAGCCAGGCAAGGAAAGCTTGTACCCTGCTTTGGACGTGATCCACTTAGCAAGAGCTTCTCTCGCTGCCTTTCAAATCAGCCCTCTCTAAACCTTTCTCACTCCTCCCTTTTCCTAAAGGAGTTTCCCTAACCGTCTAATTAGATTAGGTCCACATGGTCACCCGGGAAATTCTAACCACCTGCCGCTGCTCTGGGCAGCTCATTCACAAGATCGTCTCCGGAATGACACGGCCATATGCGGGAGAGGATGCCGAGCGATCCCGCAGCCGGCACACCCCCCTCGACGTCTGCCATGTCAGCGTGTCACCTGCTCCAGCGCCAGAAAGGGGCTCGCAGCGGGAGCTGCCACCGTGTTGACACTTCCCAGCTGGAGCCTCGCAGCTCCGAGGTGCGATGAGGCACCGCGGGTACATCATCTCCCTCCAGCGCCTGGGGAGGCACCGCCTGGCGAAGGCACTTCAAGAGGGATGGGAGGAGGGGGGTAAAAAAAAGCATCGAATTGACACGTTGCGGCCGATTTATCAGACGCTCCTCTTTTAAAACCCCCGGACGAAACTTGCCTTCACAATCACTTTAAAAGTCTTTGCATCTCCCCAGCTTGCAGGCGCCGGGATGCTGTCCCCCGACGAGGGCCGGGCTGCGCGCAGCTGGCTGCCTGCCGCCGCACATTAGGTGTTGGTACATCAGCTCCTTGTTTCCCGTCTGATTGCGCTGCACTTTCTAACGAGGCTTAAGGAGCGTTAAGCAAGGCTGTCAGGATGCGCTTCCCCATCCGAGCGGCGGCAGCGAGGGCTCGCCTGGCTCTCTCCGGGAGCGCTGCCTCCCAAACGCAGCCGGGCAGGAGAGCTCCGCGTCTCCAGCAGCTGCAGGAGGAACGGGGGACAGAAAGCTGCGACCACCCGAGCTGATGTGTGGGGCTGGCCCCGCTCCTGCGGGCAGCACAGAGGGACACGTGCCCGCAGCGCAGCTCAGGGCAGGGGAAAGCGATGAGAACTGCTTTCCTTGTCTCAGTGGTCCCTTGACCCTGTCAGCCCGGCCACCTGCCAGCGCCGAACACTGCGTGTCCCACTGCTCTGCCAAAAACGCAGCTCCTCCAAGACACGAGGCTAAAGTAGAGTCCAAAACGTCCCTTTTGAGGCTGAACAAGCCCAGGCTGCTTACTCTGTCCTCAGTCTTCTGGCTTCCCCCCATTTAGCGTCGCTGATTAACATCCTGAGGCTTGGGCTAGCATTTCCAGGGAGCCATATCCCTATTACAGATGCAGTGACACTACCAAAAATATGCTTTTTGCTAATGCAGCTAATCCCGCTCGACTAAACCATATTAAGCCATCTTAGCATAAGCAAGCCAGCTTTTTCTGGAGAAAACATGCTTTTTCTGAGTGTCTGTGCACACACAGACACACACCAGCCCTTGGTGCTCAAGAGAGTGACTCTCATGCCGCTGCCTCCTCCCCAGTCTCTCTTCCTGGTGGCCCCACTTTAAATTGAGAAGGGAAGAGTCCAAGATCTGTTGCACAGGAGAGGTATTAAGGTGACATGTGCATCCCCTCTCCAGCTGCTGATGGAAATGTCACAGTGCAGACCTGCAGTGATCCCCAGCGTGCTGTGAACACTTGCTGGCCTGGCGGCTCCATCTCCAGGCACAGAGTGACTGGCCTGGTCACAGGGGACAGCCAGTTCTCATACGACTCTGAGCAGCCAGGAGGAAAGGCAGAGCCATCTTTCCTCACCTCTGCTTATTAAAATGTCAAAACACCCTCCTCACAGCCCTCCTGTGGGGGCCCTGGGGCTGGGACACAGCCAGAGCATGGGCAGGAGCTGGGCTGGGGGCGGTGACAGCGGGGCAGAACTGGGGACCCTGCGAGGAAATCCCTGGTCTGGCAGATGCAGCTGGGGCCGTGGCAGCTCCTGCTGGTGCCCAGAGCAGGAGGCTTGCACGGCAGGGAGTTGTCCTCTCGGATGCGCTCACATGTGTGGATGGGGTTGGACAACCCTCCTTGGGCAAGCCCTGGCATTACAGCAGGACGGTGCTCTGCCTCGCCTCCCTGATCCTGTTTTACTCCAGCAGACACTTGTTTTGCTGAGGTTTCCTAACACACTGTTGGTCAAAGCCACCTGAGGAGCTGGTGGCTGGCTCCCTACCCCAGTGCCTAAGCTGTCTGACAAGGTTTTCCCTCAGCAGGAGGAAGGGGAAGAGCAACATGTGCCACGAGCCCTTGAAGACACTTCTGCTCCTTGCCTGGTAGGACAGCTGATGATGCTGGACTAGGATGCACACTCACTACTGTTTGCAAGCAGCCCTGAGGCAGGAGCCTGCCTGCAGATGCCAGGGATGTATCCAGCCCCTCTGCAATCACAGCTGAAAGCCTCCCCTGCTCCCAAGGAACAGGCACCAGCAAAATGCAAGAACAACATTTCCCTTGGTGGAAAAGCACTGTGGTCAGTCCTAATTACCACATGCTAATTGTGTCCTTCTAGTCACCCATCCCAGTGCCTCCTTGGGTTGTAGGCACAGGGACGTTCAGGCACACTACTCTAAATTAGAAGTGGGCAGAGGATTAAAGGACAGGGGCCTCACTAAACTGTCCCCTACCAAAATTTCAGGTCTTTGTACCTCTCCTTTTACAGCACACTCCACAAAGCCCCAGTGGTCAAGTCAGCGTCAACCACCTGTCAAGCCCAGCTTTCCTGCGTGGGGATCAAGGTTGGGTGCCTTGGTCCCAGCCGAGGCAGCACACTGGGAAACACTGGTAAATTAGGCTCTGTGATGGGAGGAACCGTCTGGGGAGTGCTGAGTCACCTGGCACAAAGTATCCAGCCTGCTCCAGTGCCAGGAGATGGATCTTGCTGCTTTTACCAGAAGAGCTCTCACACACACAGCACCTGAACCATGCTCCTCACCCCAGCACCCACCAAGATGTGTAGGGCAGAGGAGATTCACCCTCCACAAACTGCATCCAGGAAAAATGCAGTGAATGCAGAACAAGACCCTTGCTCCTTTTCTCCTTCTCTCACAGGATTCCTCTCCCACTCCATCATGCCGACCCCCCAAACATTCACAGCCACTGTTCCTGGCAAAGCAGGGCTCAGGGAAGAGGCAGACATGAAGGACTGGGCCACAAGGGAAGCTGGGCCACTGTGGAGTGAACCTTCCTGCCCAAGGGTATGTGAATATAGGACTGAATTGCTCTTCCTCGTGATCCTGCAGCTTACAACTCACCCTCTCAAAATGCAGGGCTCGTGGCAATGCACTGCAGGGACTGTAGGGCACAGGAACCGGGACCACCATGGATCCATCCCCCCCTCAGCCCTCAGATGCCCCCCAGCACCACCACACTGCTGGGAGGCTTCGTGGCAGCGCACGGGAGAGGTTGGGTGTCAGGGCATGAGCTGCGAGGCAGCTCTCGCTGCCCCGACCCTGGGAAGGCCAAGCCCTGGAGGATCGTGGCAGGGATGGAATTTCTGCCTGCACCCAGGGTCGGGGAGCCCTGGCAGAGCAGACCATTAGTAGCAGGATTCATGCTCCCTGTCCCTGACTGCATCTGTAATGGGATTTGATCGGCTTTAAGGCGGCTTATTCTGCCAATTAGCTTCAGCCAGTAAAATCCCTCTTCCCCCAAGCCCTGGGGGTAACAATCTGCTGACAACATGTTCTTTCCCCATCTAGCCATTAAACTCATCAGCAGGGCTAGGAATTGTAAAAAAAAAAAAAAAAAAAGGAGAAAGAAAACTTGAAAAGCCCTTGTGTGTGGGCCCTTTCATTGCTGTTTACAGAAAACCGCTGCGAACTGCTGGCCTTGGGAGAGAGAAGTGTCACCTGCCAGCCCCTGGCTCTGCTCGCCTCCTCACCCAGCGCTCGGGGGGCATCGGGGTGGCTCCCAGCCGGCACCCAGGGCTGGGACCCGGGGCCAACCTGTAGAGCAAGGCGGGAGCCCGCGCTGCCCTCCTCCTGCCAGGCTGCAAGCCCTGCGGGGGCTCCGGGGTGCCAGGGGATGGAGCGCAGGGAAGGGGACACGAGCTCCTTCCCACCCAGCCCGACTCCACGTGGAAATGCCCCGGTGATGGATGGAGCCCCCAGGAGGTGCCGAGCTCGCTCGGGTGCTGCTCTGGACACCCTCAGAAGGGGCTCAGCCCCCGGCAGGAGGTGATGGCGGGATGGAAAACGGGACGCCCTCTCGATTCCGGCATGCGGAGGGGAGCCCGTGGTGCAAGGGACACGCAGGCATTAGGTGCTGTCGCGACCGGACCCGATCCTGCCTGGGGATCGGAGCACGGAGGTGCCCAAACCCCCGCTGAAGCCGGGGTGGGTGGGTGGGGGGGGACGGACACGGGGAGAGGTGCTGCGACTCAGCCCTCTCCCCTCCCGTTGCCCCGACGGGTAAACCGAGGCGGGGAGGGGGCGTCGCGGCCGGCGGGGGAAGGGTGCGGGGGGCTCACCTGGCTCGCAGGACCGGCCCGAGGGCCAGGCAGAGCAGCAGCACCGTCCCGGGCATCTCGGCGAGGCGAGGGGCGGCCCCGGGGGGCGGCGGCGGCGGCGGTGCCCGCCCGGCGGGGCTCAGCGCGGGGCCGGGCCGGGGGCGGCCGCGGGGCCCCCCCGCTGCCCGATGAGCCGCGCTCCGGCCCCGCCGCCGCCCGCGCGGCCCCGCGCTCCGCGCCCCGCTCCGCGCCCCGCTCCGCGCCGCCGGGCAGCAAGGGGAAAGTTGGGCATCTCTTCTCCGGTCCGCGGCGGGGAGGGGCTCGGAGCGGGTCCTACCCCCCCGCGCAGGGGCCGGCCTCCCCTGCACCCCCGGGGCTGAGCGCCGGCGGGGGGGCGCACCGAGAGGCACCCGCGCATCTGCCGGAGCCGCGCTGCCGGGGAGCGAGCACCGTCAGCTGGTGCGAGGAGCGCTCGCTCCCCCTCTGCGTAACGAGGCGTTTGATTTCCCTCAATACTTGCTTTCCTTCGTCTTTTTTTTTTTCTCTTCCCCCCTACTCCCCCCCCCCCCCCCCCCCCCCCCCCCCCCCCCCCCCCCCCCCCCCCACCGTGCACAACAGTTGGGGTGTTTGTCTAAAAAAAGAACGAGTGGGTAATTATTGCTAAAATACGCGAGGCGGCAGGCCCTGCTGGGCTGAGCTGCCAGGGAGATGCAGCCGGGCAGAGGGTCCTTTCCCACCTGTTGGGGCTGCTGTCCCGCGAAATCAGCCGGGTGGGGGCGTGGGTGGGAGCTGGGGGGTCGTGGGTGGGCTGTGGGCTTCCAGCCTGTCGCTCTCTACCTTCACAGTTTGCCAGGCTGCACCGGGGCATTTCTTTTCACTGCCAGCATCCAATCTGCAAAGAGGAATAGCAGATCCCTCCTTGGTGAGTTCTGGGTGAGAGTGATCGCAACAAACTTTGCTAGATTTACATGAGGTACCCACAATTGTCTTTTGTCACCTGATTATAGGCTGAGTTGCAGGAGCCCCCAGAGGGGCCTGCTCCTGCATCTCCCAGAGGTCTGGCAGCACTGATGACAAACGGGGATTTGGTGCCTGGCAGTGCTCCAGGAGTACAAGTGATCAATAACAGCGGCACAGCTGGGTGGTTTTTCGAGGCTCTCTCCCCTGCTGATTCCTGCCACGATCACCTTCAGCCTTCAAGCACGAGATCTGAGCAGCCCCAAAGCCACAGCAGCCAGCTGCAGGCATCAAGGCTCCGAGATGGCATTTCCCTCTGATGGAGCAACTGCAGATGATGTTTCCTTTACTGCATGCAAAGAAGCCAGCTCTGGGATGGCAGAGTGTACAGGGAGCACATGTCAAAAGAGTAAATAATGAATATCAAAGAAACAGCGAAGGTGGAAAAAGCTCTTTAAGCTTCAAAGCAAGCCACTGGATTGCTCCAGAAGTCCTTGAGGGATCCAGGTGAAGCTGAAGTTGGGGAAGGTGCAAGAGTAGCTGCAGGGAAGGATGTAGCTGTCAAGGATTCTGGCCACGAGCAGATCACAGGAAATCCAGGGGTTCATGTATGTGCTCTCAGCTCCCCCTCAAGACGCAGGATGTGAAGTGGTGTGTGGGGAAATCCACAGGACCGATTTCTTTTGCCCACCCCTACTGCTGCCTGAGAACCGAGAGAGCTGGGGAGGACCGGCTCTTGAGGAGATGGAGATGGTCTGAGCAATGTTAGGGAACCACAATGTCCCCCTGTGATGCTGTTTTGAGGACACCATCCAAACAGCTGTCCTCCCTGCTCTTCTCCTCCATCTACAGTGGTTCCTTTTTGTAACTGGTACCGAGTCTTTTCCCTGGGCCAAGGATAGGAACGAAGCGCGTTGATGGTGCTGGAGGGCAAGAGAGAGCACTGCTCTTTTCAAGCAAACACATTATTTATCAGCAGCACAGGCTCAGCCGGTGAGAAACCCATTTCAAATTCATGGTGAATGATTTTGACCAGGAAAAACCACCCTCAGTCCACAGGCCGAGAAGGACAGAATGTCCTGCACCAGCGTTTTGGGAGGAAGCAGCCCCTTATTTTCCACTTTGAAGAGACATTTGTTTTGAGGTCTACTGTCATGGGATTCCAAACTCAAACAGGAGATGCAATGTTTTATTCAAGATGCTTTTTATCCCTTCTGGTATTTCAGTTTAACCGGCAAACTAATAAAACCTATTATTTACAGAGTCCTCATGAGCCCAGAGCCTGGGGGGCCAAGCTGCCACAGCAAATGAAGGTTTCACCGTGCAGCCCTCACTGCAGGATTTAGCTCTGGGAGACAAGGAGACAATTCCAGCCCTGGCCCAGGATCCCAAAACTTTGCAAGGATGGCTGTGCTTTTGGAGGGATGAGTCTGGGCACATCCACAGCCTGCCCAAATCTCCCTGTGCTGTTCCCAAGCCCCTCTGCAGGGGCTGTGCTGGCTGCTCCCGCAGTGGGGGGATGTGTGGGTGTGTGGGTGTGTGGGTGTGTGGGTGTGAGTGCATGTTGGAGCAGCCAGGGAAGGTGGGAGGCAAATTCTCTGCCAGCCTCTCCCCCGTGCAAAGGGCTGGTCACTCCTTGCCTCAGGCAATGCTAAAGACAAGGAGTGTTCTCTCTCCAAGGAGACTGTTCTTCTTCTGGGCCACATCAGAGGGAAAACAGATGCAAGTGGAGAAAAGTGTTATCCCAAGGTGGTCAGGAGCTCGTTTCTGAGAAAACGCAGGCGTTTGCAAAATTTCCCTCGGACAGATCACTCTCCAAGAGTGGAGGAGCAGGACTGGGGCACCCCAGGCGGCCACAGATCCCGTGGGGATCTCTGCAGGGAGAGGCCAGGCTTGAGAGCACTGCTGGCAGAGCTGGGCACGCCAGGACAAGGAGCTGCCAGGGCATTGTCAGGCAGCTCCTGCCAGGACCATGCAGCAGACAGCTCTGAAGGGCTGCATGGAGGTGAACTCGCCTTCCCCTCCTCCCACCGCTGCTCCACGTCACGGGTCTGAGGACAGAGCACAGTTAGAGCCGCTGTCCTTGGTGCTGGTTGTCCTCCCGGTGATGAACGAGGCTCCTGCTGTCACCTCCCCGGTGCATCCTCTGGGAGCAGAGAGGGTTCCAAGGCCAAGGCTTCCCACGGATGTCCTCTCCACGCCCAGAGCTGTGTGCTCTGGCAGAAAGCAGAGGCTGGTGGGGCTGTGAGTCTCCTACAGCAGCATCCCTGAGGCTGAGAGTGCTGACAGACCTGGGATGAGAGTGGGGAAGGACATCTGAGGAGAAGCTGATTACAGGGTCCCTTTGGGAAAACTTGGAGGATGAAAAACCCTGTATAAGCCTTGACCCTTTTCTCCAAATTTGGGGCATGTCCTGCTCAGTAGAAACATTTGTTTACTCTATCAGGGCATTTGTTCAACATAACCGAGGTTTTGTCTTTTTCAGGCTCACCAGGCACAGCAGCAGATGCTGCATCTGGGCTCCCATGACATCAATAACCACTTCAGCTGGGCTCTGCCTTCCCACCTTTCTGGGCAGCGATGATAGATGAAGCAGACAGGGCACAGTGTGGTTTTTAGGTGCTGGAGTGCACTTGCAGTGCTGACAGATTAAAAAAATGTGTTTGGAGTCTGAACAAATGTGACGTGTATGTTTTCCAAGGAGAATGAAGGGTGTGGGAGGACAACCCAGGCCGTAGCAGGAGCTGGTGCAAGGTGTCCCAGAGGGTGACAAGAGCATTGATGGGAGTGAGAACTTCACTTTCATTCTCTGCTGCTCCATCAGGCCTGAAGGAGTCTCTACGTTTCCTCCACTGTGGACAGTCCCCTTCAAAATGAGTTGCTTAGTGGAAAGAGATCACCAAATGCTAGGTGATCTGATCCTGTGTGTCAGCATGGCTCTGGCTGTCACCCCGGGGATGGGAAAGATGACATTTCATGTGCTTTTATGGCTCTGCCTTTCTGAACCCCTCCCCAGCTCAGGGCTGAACATGTTACATCCCTCCCAGGGACTGAAAGGTGAAGAGAGAAAACGCACGTGGGAAAGGTTGGGAGAGGGAAGAGAAATGGCAGCCCTGGAAAAAAAAGGGGAAAATCTCAGCAAATTGAGCACCAGGTGTTTCAATACCTTTTTCAAATAGAATTTGCAGCTATGCCATCACTACATCTGATGTATGCCCAGCACAAGACCATGAGCTGGTAGTTTAGCCCCCAGAATAACTCCCAGGCAGAACATCATTATTTTAAATGCTGTGCAACTGCTGACACAAACTTTGGGGACATGCAGCTGCAGGAACAGGAGCAGCTGCTTCTCTTCTCTGTAAAAAAGTGTCTGCTTCTGGATGGAGATACACTAGCTCCTTGTCAACCTGTGCCACAATAGTTTGGGTAGTGGAAAAGGAGCCAGGGAGGTCATGGAGGCAACAAAAACTACCACTGGGATGCAAACTGTATTTCACACAGTGATCCCTCCCAAAAGTGCTCAACAGCTGGGAAAAAACCCGATCTTGGGGCTCTCCAGAGGACACGCTGGGACTGAGAGCAGAGCCAACACGTGCTCACCACCAAAAACCCCGTGGCCAGCACTGACCCTGCCTGACCCTTCCTGCACTGCAGCCCTGATGGCACAGCTGAGGGCACCTCATCACCCACTGGCCCCCCTGGTGGGATTTAAGAGGGAGAGAGGGAGGCAGAGCTGCCTTTTATTGTTAATACACTCCGGCATTTGTATCCAGGGACGCGGGGCTTTCAAAGGCTCCTCTCTCTGCGCTGTCTCGGGAATGTTTATACACCAGTAAATAATGGGAACTGCTCATCTGTGGCTGAGTGTGGATGTTCAATTACAGCCATCTCCAGCAGCCGATCCGAGCCCCGCGCTCGGCTCTCCCTCTGTGGTTTGCCTGGCAGCTTGACGTTTAGTCAGCCTGAGGATAGGGCAGGACGGTTGACAGGTGGAGAAAGCGGTGCAAGGAGCTGTCCTCCCGCAGCTGAGGCAGAGCACAGTCCCTCCTGCTGCAGGTCCCGTCCCAGCTGGGGCCACACAGGCTGCGTTTCTTGCTGCCTGCCATGGGACTGGCTCCGAAGCTGCAGGAGGGGTGCCCATTT